GTTGTTACTGAAATGAGGGTTGAGCCTTAAGCTCTTAATAAAAGTTCAGTGCTAAAATACAAGTACCTCTAAAAGTAACAAAGATACTGGAAGAACTTTTACCTAAACAAACTTCAAGGTGGTGCTGCCTTAATAGAAGTTGGAGTATCTCTCTTAAAAATTTGTTGAAAAGGATAAGCGCAAGACCAAAAAAGCGCTAAGCGAGTAGTGAGGAACTTGAGAACACGTGATATTTGTGTGTGTGTTCTTACCGGTATTGTCACATGAAAAACTTGATTCAAAGCTTCATGCTACCTTGAATTTCGACTTTACTTTGTTTGAATTACACTATGGTTAGATTCAAATCGAAAGATATCTAATCCTTATGCATGAGTATCGTATAATTCGAATATGGAACATTGATTGTTTTTTAACAAGTGGGGAATTGTGATAGTTGTTCAAAACCATGTGACCGAATGGCTGCCAAATGGCCTCGGTTCAAACTAACCATGCGACCGCATGGATTTTCACCATGCGGTCACATGGTATAAGTTTGGTGACCATTGGAGTCAGTTTGGGTGGTTTTTTGGCAGCTTTTCACTTTATTTTGGCACCACTTCGTGAAGCTATGTTGCATGGCTATAAATAAGTGATTTTTTGATCATCAAATAGTATGAAAAACACTTATAAGTGACATGTTTATAAGATCAAACGAGAGAGAAGAAAGAAAAGAAAAAACCATCTTCTTCCATATTCCTTTTCCATCGTGTTCTTGAGTTCTTAGAGAATCAAACAAGTGCTTAGAGTTTGAATCTCTACAAGGCTTGATCAATCCTTCAAATTTTTTTCCGGATGACCCTTTAAGTACCATAATCTTTTCTAGTGGGGGCAAAATTCGTTTGAGGACAACGATCTCATATCGTGTTTGAGCCTTCCTACATTTGTTTTATTTTCTTCATCTTCTAATTTTCTTTCAATCTACATTTGTAATTCGTTCTCTAACCCCTTGGTGGAGAAACTATTTCTAATAGCTCGACTTGGTGGAGACTACTTTTGTCCAGACAGACTTAGATGAAAATGAAGATGCAACGAAAAACTTCGAGCAATCTGCAACCAAGAGTTCATACAATCTGAGGTGCCAAATTTTCCACCTCAGATCATACTACCATGCTGAAACGAATTTGGAACTTGAGATCGTTGTTTGGGTCCACATGGTTTAAGTTTCGACCGTTTCAAAACTGAACTTAACATCTTAGAAACGGTTTGGTCTATATTGTGATCGTCAAAATCCACTAAAAATCAAATTGAACCGTCGGCCTAAATTAATTTTAAAAAATTACTTTTTTTACCCAAAATATATTATTTATTAATCCAGTTTATACTTTAAAAATTTTAGTAATTTACTTGCCAAAGGATTCTATTGGCTTTTTAAGTAATAATCACTTGTGAAAAATATATATATTTTTATCTATTTCAAATTTTTTTCACTTGTTTGACTGATATTATTTTTATGTTGATGACAAGGTGATTTGAAACGAAATCGAATTGCAAAAAATGGTTTTGTGTGGAAAATGAAGTGATTTGGTTTTGAAATAAATAAATGATTTAATTTTAAAAAAATAAAATTCAAGAATCGTCGTCTTCACATGAAAAGAAGCGTAAAGTCAATTACTTCTCAAGAAATATTAATGTTAATAAACATTTTAACTAAACCAGATGAGTAATACTATTTAATCTCATTGGGGGTTACAATCCCAATTTAGATGATATTAATGTGACTTTAAATAATAAATAGAATTAAATAATTCATTTAATTTCACTTTTTATCTAACCAATTATCTAATACCATTTAAACTGTTCCAGTGAGACTACATAGCGTTATACTAACCAAATGCATTTACATGCGGCAAAACAAATTGATGTTTTCATTAAGCATTATTATTAATTCCCAAGTTGGTGGTCCTTCGCTTTGGGAGTGGAATATGGTACCCAATATTAATTAATAATTCACTTGCGTGCAGTAAAATGTAAAAATATATCTTCCAAAGAAGACCAAGTTCAATGAATCTAAAAAAATAATTTAAAATTTTCCTCTAAAGGAGAGAATAAAAAAGAAAAAGAAAAACCTTATACTATTTTAAATGTGCATCATTAACCAGATCGCTATTATTTTATGCAAAATTATGATTTACTATGTAATTAATACACTTTATTTTGAAAAAAGCAGCTTTATAGTAGTAGTTGACATTTTTTTGTCTTACAGCAACAGTTTTAGGACAAACTTAGTGGATGACCTGTGATCGTAATTAAGCATTTTTAATGGACGAATCCCATATGATATCAATTATTAAAGAGATTTTATTCTCTAAATCTTAGTTTCCTAGAACTTATGGTAGATCATCGGACAATGCAACACATGTATTGTCAAACATAATATAAGAAATTAAGGACCGTTTGGCAGCATCTCTATTTTTATTAATAATAGAGCTTATTAAAAATGTTATCTTAGGACAAATTCCTCAAAAAATTCGTATTGTCGGATAAAACATTTACAAAAAGTTATTCAAATTTATTCAAAACAATTATTGAAGTCCATTACATATACCATATTTAGTTTCGTGGAATTTTATTTGTACTTCTCCAACAAACCGTTTTGAACGAAATATCATATTATCTTGCCCCCTTGATCGATAATCTATCATATCCTTTCTCAAACTAAGAAAAATCACACGCCACATCAAGGTTCAACTCTCCACTACATAATGGACCACGATCTCACTTGGTAAAACTGCTTTTCGAGAGCCAATTACTAATCTTTCTAACTATCACAATCCAATTCAAAGGCCACCATATTCGTTTAGCTGCAACTTGTATTTTGTTGATGAGTTCACCTGGATAAATTTAGGACGTAACTCTGATATCACTTGTACGAATTTTGGCTGCAATTTTTCAATGAAGTGGCAAATCGAGTTGACAAAATTAAGGACTAGACACGTAGCATTTGTCTATTTTACTATATATATACATTTGAAATATAGTGGGTGAGAGTGTAGCATTCTAGTAAGAATAGGATTTAGGACAAAAAATTGAAAGCAGTAGACATGGGAGTTTGAGTATCGAGTGCACGCCGGATTATATTTCCGATCATTTTCATGAAAATAACCATCGACTTGCTATAGCTGCTAACTTTTTCAACGGTTGAGATTGTCCACTTCTTCAAACAGTTTATAAACAAACTTCTTCTCTTCCGTGAGCAGAGGTTACAGAGAATCTCTTTCATACTCCCCCAACCCCCACACCTCCACTCTATCTCTAGTCTCTACATTAGGGTTTACTTCGTTAAGGTACGCTACCGTTTTCATTTTTTTTGTGTTCAAAATGCAATAGTTTTCTGTTGAATGTAAAATGATATTTTCTTGGATTTTCTTGAAACAAGTAGAACTAAGCTTATGCACAATTAAAAGTCGAATCTTTTTGATGTACACATGTTTTCTTTTTCTTTTAGGTTAGGAATCATCACTACTTTGTTTTTTTTCAAGGCACTCTTTCTCATTTCAAGATATACTTTCCAATTTCCATTAAATACTGAAGATATTGAACTTTGTTGAAAAAGCTATTGCACAATTAAAACTCCAATCTTTTTTATTTTAAAATATAGCTGTTATCATGGATTTGGCGGGTAGAAAAAATTTGTTCAAGGACTTTGATGTTTTTCGTCTTCTATTTTGTGGCTTCAAGAGTATAATTTGAACTATATTTTGGTAGTTGACTAGTGTTTGATAGTGTTTCTAGTTAACTGGATTGAAATCGAAATGGAACCAATTTGTCGTGAATTTTCATATTCTTCAAATGGATTTCAATTGAAAAATCAGTCCATTGGCGAGTCGTCCAACCAAATACTAGCCAATGGACCTAGATTTGAGATTACTTCTCCAGATCAGAAGCTAGTCAATGAACAAAGGTTTCAGAATAACTTACCAGCACAAAAATTTGAACGTTTTCAAATGATTGGAAATGAGCCTTTTACGAGTAGTGAAGTCTCGTGTTCTAGTTTGGGCATTGAGAACGAATATGAAGAAGACTGTGATTTCTCAGACGCTGTTTTAAGATGCATAGATCAGATGCTTATGGAAGAAGATATGGAGGAAAAGACACATATGCTTCAAGAGTCTTTAGATCTTCAAGCAAAAGAGAAGTCATTCTACGAGGTTCTTGGCAAGAAGTATCCCCCTTCACCGGTACAAAACCGGACTTTAATTAGTCCATGTGGTGAGAGCCCAGATGATTACGTTCCAGGACATCACCATCATAATTGTTTAAGTTGCAATGGTTATGGAAGTGGTTACCTAATCGATGTAATTGGTCCGAGGTGGATAAACAATTGTATTGATTGTAATGCATGTCATGCTCAGTTATACACAGCATATAGTGGTTCCAATTCATCAATTAGATGGTCGAATAGCTTAAACAATATTGTCGACGGGTTCTCAGACTCTTCTCTAAGTCCTCTTCAGGTATCTAATATGTATAATGAGAGTCAATGTGTGTGGGATTTCAAGAAGGGGACTGAAAATGTTAGCAAATTCCTTCCAAGTGGGAATAGTGTGTGGGTTAATACAGACATTAATGGTTTGTTAACTCGGAAGCCAAATGGAGAATATGATGGGGGAGTAGTTACAGTGGAGAAGAAAGATGGGGACGCACAATCTCTGTCTGAGTCGAGGGGGAGGAAGAATCCACATAGTGGAGAAATGGATTTAGAAGAAGAAAGATGTAACAAGCAGGCAGCAATCTATACAGAATCTACTATTCGATCGGATGAATTCGATATTGTCTTGCTTCATAGTATGGGGGACGGTGAGGTTAGATTGGCAGCTTACAAGACGGAGTTGCGAAATGCTATGAATAAGTGTGTGCAGCAGAATGGACAAATGAAAAGATCTAGTGGAGTGAAGGGCCGTGGCAAAAAACAGAATAGGAAAAAGGAAGTTGTGGATTTGAGAACCCTCTTAATTAATTGTGCTCAGGCTGTTGCTGCTGATGATCGTCGGAGTGCTAATGAACTGCTGAAACAGATCAGGCAGCACTCATCTCCTTTCGGGGATGGAAATCAGAGATTGGCTCACTGCTTTGCCGATGGCCTTGAAGCGCGCTTGGCTGGCACTGGTAGCCAGATCCATAAGGCCCTTGTCAACAAAAGAATAACTGCGGCTGATTATTTGAAAGCTTACCATTTATATATTGCGTCGTCTCCATTCAAGAGGATTTCCAATTTTACCTCGAACAAGACAATTATGATGAAAGCGCAAAATGCAATGAGAGTTCACGTTATAGATTTTGGCATCCTCTATGGTTTTCAGTGGCCCACGTTTATGCAACGGATGGCTAGAAGACATGCACCAGCACCTCCAAGAGTTCGGATCACCGGCATCGAATTTCCCCAACCTGGGTTCCGTCCCACAGAAAGAATAGAGGAGACTGGTCGTCGATTGGCAGATTATGCAAAGACTTTCAATGTACCATTTGAGTACAATGCCATTGCAAAGAAGTGGGAAACCATCAAAATTGAGGAACTTAAGATTGAGAAAGATGAGTTTCTTGTTGTCAACTGTTTGTATAGGACGAAGAACTTATTTGATGAGACTGTGATGGCAGAGAGTTCAAGAACTGCTGTTCTGAACTTGATTAGGAAGATTAATCCGGACATCTTCATTCACGGGATTGTCAATGGGGCCTACGGTGCGCCATTCTTTGTCACTAGGTTCCGGGAGGCCTTGTTTCACTTCTCAGCGCTATTCGATATGCTTGAAACTAATGTACCTCGTGAGAAAACAGAGAGAATGTTAATCGAGACAGAAATCTTTGGCCGGGAAGCATTGAATGTCATAGCTTGTGAGGGTTGGGAGAGAGTTGAAAGGCCAGAGACGTACAAGCAATGGCAAGTCCGTAACTTGAATGCAGGCTTCTTGCAAGTCCCTTTTGAAAGGGATGTTATGAATAAGGCAATACATAAGGTAAGATCAAGCTATCACAAAGACTATATTATTGCTGAAGACAGTCAGTGGATGTTGCTGGGATGGAAAGGGCGGATAATCTATGCCCTTTCTTGTTGGAAACCTGTTTAAGAAACTAACATGTCTGCTGGGCAGTACCTGATATTATTTAATAGAATTAAGGAACAAAAATTAGTTAAAATTTTTATATATTGTAATGTTGAGTACTGTACCGATCTCTATAAAAGCAGATCTTAGTGGAGAATTTGACATGAAAGACCTAGGAAAGGCTAAAAGGATTCTAGGCATGGAAATAGAACGAAATAGGTCAAATTCCATCGTATTCTTACATCAGTCCCCATACATATCAAAAGTGTTGAAAAAGTTTAATATGAGTGACTGCAAACCTGTCACGTTGCCTCTTGCAAATCATTTTGTTCTATCTAAGGAACAAGCTCCTTGCAATGAACGTGAATTGGAATATATGAGTAAAATTCCATACTCAAATGTGATTGGTTCCATAATGTATTTGATGGTTTGCACTAGACCGGACTTAGGATTCGCTATTAGTACTCTCAGTAGGTACATGTCTAATCCAGGTCCTAAACATTGGGAAGCATTAAAGTGGCTTTTAAGATATTTGAAGGGTACAAGTGACGTGGGTCTAAAATTTAGTGCTAATAAAGAAGGCGTGAAATTAAAGGGTTTTGTAGATGCTGACTATGCAGGAGATAGGGATGGTAGGAAATCAACTTCCTCTTACGTATTCACCTTATCAAATTCGTGTGTTAGTTGGAAATCACAGTTACAACACATAGTTGCACTATCCACTACATAGTCAGAATATATTGCCACCACTGAAGCAATTAAAGAGGCTCTATGGCTTAGAGGTCTACTTCATGAACTGAGTGTCTTGAATGAGTATGTGGTTGTGTATTCTGATAGTCAATCATCCATACATTTGTGTAAGAATCCTGTCTTTCACGAACGCACTAAACATATCGATGTTAGGTTACACTTCATTAGGGATATAATATCACAAGAAGTAGTAAGACTTGAAAAAAATTCACACACAGTACAATCCTTCAGATATGGGCACGAAAGTGCTGCCACTGGTGAAGTTTAGAAGTTGCAAAGAGCTTCTAAACATCGGTACAGGTAAATGATTTCAATTTTATCGGTTTTTCTGTTAGAGGTGTCACTAATGGAAAAACGTTTTTTTCTTTGCAGGTCCTTTGACACCAAGGTGGAGGTTGTTAGACATTATGTTGTCAAACGACCCCCGGGCGATGATGAGAACCAATTTTATCAGTCGACCTAAATGACTGAACGATAATTCAACATCGAATAATGGATGAACCGACCGAACGTTGCCTTACCTATTGGACGACTAATATTCTTTGTGGCTTGTTGATTTCTTCCATTGGAAGTTAACCCTAGTCGAGCCTACTTACCATATCCCGACTTACCTTATGTTGGCCACTTGACTTACTATATATATTGGTGTCTTTGCCTTTGTTGGTACCGTCCAAAATTGAAGCCGTGAGGAAGAAGAAACTGCCGTGTCCAAGCCGTGTCTTATGTCTTCATCTTCTTCGTGATTTCTTCTCCACCCAAATTGCTTGAGTCTTTGTGAACCTTACCTGAGTGGTATCCATCCTAAGTGTGTGGATTTAATCAACCAAGCAAGAGAAGAAAGCAACCATAGGAAGAAGAGGCGCCGGCAGGTGGTTCATTCCAGTTTTGATGTTGAACTCGGTTTTAATGGTTAACTGAGCCCGGGAATCAGCGTGAGCAGCAAGAGGAAGGTCCTAACACGTTCCATTTAATTAAGACTTGATTCGCAGAAAGATTTTTCTTTTCTTTGCAAATATAAGTTGAATATATAGGATGAGAACTCAATTTTATTATACTAGCTGAGAAATCAGATACCGGCAATATCTCAGCTTCCATTGTAGCCATGAGGTTTAAATCCACATAGACAACCAAAAGGAAGAGTGTGGAAGAAGGAATGAAAACTATCAAAAGAAAAAACTGGCATATAATAATCTATATGCGGGGATGCATCTTCAACCTCTTGAGATGTGACAGAAGAGAAAATAGTACATGAAAAGAGGCGATAAAAGAAAAAGAGAAGCTAGGCAAAGGGAGTACAAACCAATATGTTTCCATTTCCCAAGCTGTTTAAAGGGTGGTTTTCATTAGTTCCTCCCATTGATCCAATTAATACTGTGCTTCACTCCAGCAGCTTTTGCTGTTCAACCCATAAATCACATATTTCTGTTGAGTAAGGAAACTATTAGAAACGGTAAATTTTAGTACTGTTTCTCACTGGCATCTATTTAGTTCTTTTGCCCAATCTAATCAACCTAGAAATGTATGCTGAAGATCAGTGATGACGCAGAAAGGGAGCTCTAACACAAACTCTACTAGAACCATGTTTGGCTAAGCTAAAACATTTACCTTTTAGTAAATTAGTTTAGAAATAAATCACTTTCTTGAATGGTTAAGGCTGAAAATAAGTACGTTAAGGTAAGAGCACTTCCAAATTAATTAACATTTTTTACTTGAAAATAAGATATAAATTAACACAACCAAATATTTGGAAAACAAAAAGTTACTCCAAATTAACTCTTACATTTTCTATGCGTAGCCAAACACACTCTAGGTAATGATACCTGTTCAGGATATGCTCCATCGTCAAAACAGAATTCCCGCCTTCCACCTTTAGCTGGGTCAGACCTGGGTTCTACCTTTGGCATGGAACTTGTAAGAATGATGAGCGCGTCAATACCTTGGATTGCTGGAACAATGCTTTCCGCATTCCCTATATCACCAATGCAAACATCATCTGCTCCACCAACTTTTTTCCTTTCCCTCCTTGGTTCTTACCAAACCTCTAGTAGTAAACTGGACTGATCTCTTCTTCAGTTTCTTCTAACAAATTTGTCATGACATAATCAAGTGACGCAAAAGCCTGTCAGCAGAGGATTTTTTGGAAATGTAATTGTGTGGAGATAGTCTCATTTTTCCTTCAAATAACTAGCACCATGCATGCAAAACTACAGTTGGTGGATAAGAAAACATATTTGTCAAAATTTTGCTGTTAGGTTGATCTGGTAAAAATCAAATATTTTATCATACAAGCAAGCAGACAACAAAGAAACAAAGTAGCAGACGCAAGATTTATATGGTCTTATATAGACCTATGCATACAGGCGAGGGAGGACCAAATCTAGAAAACAGAACAAACGGCTGATCGCGAAAACAAAAGATTTCAAAATAAGCATCCCAGATGATGGAAATTCAGCAAGAGCAACTGATGGAAATTAGAGCAGTGTTTTATTTCTATGTAAAAATGACAGACTTTACAACCTCCATTTTACAATGACTTGCGTACATTTAAATACAAAATCTCCTATCTCTATTTTAGGAAATTAGCCAACATTTTGCATATATAGAAGTAGCAGGCTAATTTCATGGTTATAAAAAAATAACATTTACAGAAAATTGATTGACTGTTATAGGCATCATTATTGGCTATCTTGCTGGTTTTGATTCTTGGCTTGATTTGTGGTGGCTGATTTTTGCTCCTTGGCTTGATTAGTGGAATCTTCCTTCATACGACCCCGCAAGATTGGGCTGCCATCGGCAAGACCAATCTTGTTTCTCAGTTGTTTCGTACGTTGCTTTGACAGTGGTTTTGTTAGAATATATGCAAGCTGGTCCTGTGTATTTACATGATGAACTTGGAGTGTTCTTTTCTGAACTATAACGCGCACAAAGTTTAGATCAATTTGAATGTGCTTCATTCGAGAGTGGTGGACTGGATTGAAACTCAGTTGTGTGGCACCCAAGTTATCACAAAGTAGCTTTGGTGTGGATGATATAGGGTGGCCAAGTTCTTGAAATAACTGAAGGAGCCAAATGGTTTCAGAGGCCACATTTGCGAGGGCTCTGTACTCGGCCTTGGTTGATGATCGAGCAACTTTCCTTTGTTTTTTAGAGTTCCAAGAAATTGGATTTGTGCCAAGGAAACATATATAAGCAGAGGTTGAAGTTCTATCATCAAAGTTCCCTGCCCAATCTGCATCGATGTATGCGATAAGAGTTGACGGACTGAATCTGATGTGAATTCCATGAAAAATTGTTTGTTTCAAGTGATGAAAGAGCCTCTTCGCAGCCATCCAATGAGTTGCAATAGGTTTATGCATGAACTAAGAGAGTTTAGTCACCGTAAATGAAATGTTTGGCCTCGTAAGAGATAGATATTGAAGAGCACCTATAACACTCCTAAATTCTATGCTGTCAACGGAGCTGGTTCCATCAATGAGTTTGAGGGATATAGTGGTTGAAAATGGTATGGATGCATCTTTTGCACCGAGCATATTACTTTTGGACATGATATCTCTAATGTATTTATGCTGAGATAAGAAGAGACCAGATTTAGTAGGTATAACTTCCATCCCCAGGAAAAAATTTAGCTGTCCCATATCTTTCAAAGAGAAACAGTGTCCAAGTTTTGTGATTACTGAAGCAACAAATTGAGTATGCCAGTTATGACTAAGTCATCCACATATACTAGCAGAAAACATGTAACCGAGCTGGTTCTGTATATAAATAATGAAGAATCTACTTTAGAATTCATAAACTCAAGCTCTATAATGGTTTTCTTGAGGGCCGAATACCATGCTCTTGGTGCTTATTTTAGGCCATAGATGGCCTTGTGTAACTTGCAGACATGGTTGGGCTTAGATGTATCCTTGAACCCCAGAGGTTGAATCATGTAAACATTTTCAGTCAACATCCCATGTAAGAATGCATTGTTGACATCAAGTTGTCTTAAAATCTACCCTTACATAACAGCAATAGTCAAGACAGTTCTTATTGTTGCCGGCTTTACAACCGGACTAAATGTCTCTTTATAATCTAAGCCAGGGCGTTGGTTATACCCTTTGGCCACAAGTCTTGCTTTAAAGCGATCAATAGACCCATCAGCTTTCCTCTTAACTCAAAATACCCATTTATAGCCTACTAGTTTGCAGTGTGTAGGAGGAAGAACTAAGTCCCACGTACCATGCCTAATCAATGTCGTGAGTTCTTCAGACATGGCATGTCTCCATTTTGGTTCACGGAGTGCTTGACTCACATAGTTTGGTTCAATAGTTGGTTGAATAGGATGTTTTGTGATTGAGTTTAACTGTTTTGGCTTGTAGATGTTGTTCATGGACCGA